GAGTGGCTTTGCGTAGCCTCTCTAAGGAGGAGCAGAGGTCTCTTTCTATGTCTTCAGAGAATGAGGACCCATTTTATTGGTGTGTTTTGACCCGAGTGGAGTGACACAAAATCCAGGCTATTTGGAAGGACCCTTATTGTGGATCTGGGAGGGGCTCGGCCCTCAACACCCCACCCCCCTAGCAGAATCCTGGCCACAGGTTTATAGACTTGAGCTATGTGAGCCTGCAACCTGATCTGAAGTCATCCTGCTGCGCTGCTGTCACTGCCCCTAAATTTCCCTAATCGCCGCGCTTCTATAATAGCCCTGTAACGTTATCTTCCCACATGGCTCCTGGCTTTGTCTTATGTCCTGAAGTGCCCGGCAATGGCCTGGCCACCAAACCTACAGCCAAGAAAAAGTGCAGGGGACATGTTGCCTGTGGATCAGGGTTGACATGAAGATTGTCGGCGTCAGGAAATTCCAGGGCCCTTAAGTTATTTGGGAAGACATTTGACATAAGAGGCCAAGGGAGGGGATCAGGTTGCCTCTGCGTAAGTAGGAATTGAGGTTCCCCATCAGGGACTGGCCTGGCAGGGAGGTGTCTGAGTTCTTCACTCAGTAGGGAAAGTTCGTATGTTTCTCTCCAAATCTTTATAATAACCAGACTGGAATTAATCACCACTCACTGCCTATTTGCATTTCTTTTGCATTCTTTTGGAAGTTTACTACTCTTGGTTATCACTGACAAGATGGAAGAATTCACTTAGTGTACCTATCCATTTGTTTATAAAAATGATACCTAAACCTGACCGCCTCAAACATTTAGGGGATTTTACTGTTTCAATGTATCAGTCCTGCCAAGAAGTACTTTATTCTTACTCCTTGTCTCATGTGATGGTTTAAATATTAATCTCATGTGTCTTGGGTGTAATGATCTGGCAGGGCTCGTGCAGTGGAGTGGCTCGGGCAGTGTGACTCGTCTGGTGTCTTCACAGGCTGCCATGTTGTTAGGATCCCCTTCGTGCACACGTGTCCCGTCTCCCTGGGGCAGGCGACCTCTGAGCCTGCCCTCCTTCTCCTGTAGCACTGCTGTGTGACTCCACGCGGACTGCCCGAGGGGTAGAGAGGCACATATTCATCTTTTCTTTTTCAGCTGAGAAACTCACTAGCACAAATGGTCAGGGACTTGCTACCCATTAATTAGAGGATTGGGGTTGTGACATTTGGCTTAGGGAATAACGGCGGTCTCTATCCTGGAAGGGAGACGGGCAGTTTGGTGGAGGATGCTCATTATCGCAGAAGGAATATAACTGCGGATGAACTTGCACACATTTTGACAGTTGATTTAAATGGTGTTTTATTCTCTTCTGTGTTCTATTTGTGTGTCATCCTTATTCAAGGAAATGATCTCTTTGAGGGAAGGAAGAGATTATGTGTTCCTTGGTGTCCCGCCTGTGCCTGACATGTAATTTTGTTAAAATTGAACTATGGAAATGGTAGTAGTTCATGCTGCCCAGAATGCGAGGAGAGGAATGGTGAGGATGGGCGGTGGTGCTAAGGTTTGGGGATTCTGTTGGCAGAAGGCTGGGGAGAGCGTGGGGCTTGCTGTTGTGATTCTGGGCTGGCCCGGGGCACTTTGAGGCAGATACCTGGTAGGCCAGGGTGACTGTCCAGGAAGATGGGATGGTCGTCTTGGGAAGCTGGGAATGCAGTCTGAAGGTGCGGGATGGAAATGACAGGCACGGTAGCCAGGCTGGAGCTACAACCGCTGGCCACCAGCACACCCCCAGTGGGGCAGCTCGGGAGAAGGGCGCGGGGCTTAGGTGGGGATGGTGGGGACTGAAGCCCGGTCCAGGGTCTCTCAGCCTTTCATCTCCTTCCTGCTGTGTCTACTTTAGACACCTCAACCGAATGGCCAGGGAAGGTCAGAAGCGGTGTGTGCTGCTTCTGCTGATCTGCTAGGGGCTGATTGTTAAAGTTTCAGGAATTTTGTGAGCTTGTTGTCAAGCATAGCTATTATTAAAAATTCAATTCTAGAAACTTACAATCGAGTAAATTATTTTAAAGACAAAGGTAATATTCCAAACATGTTACTTCCTAATTATTTTACTCCATTCTGCTACCTCTGCTCTCCAGGTTACATACATCTTGTTTGTATCTGTGTGGTAGAAGCACCATATTCCTGGTGAGCTACTGTGTACCTTTTTCGAACTCCACGCTTGGTGACTTCCCGTTGGTAGCTTGGAGCAGGCCGTAGTGGCACCATTCACTCCGCACACGTGCACGTTCTGCCTGTTTCCACCCCAGAGCAGAGCTTCCTCTCTTTCCTGCTTCTCTCCCTCTGGGCTGAGTGTGGACCACAGCCTTGGAATGGCTTAGACCTCCTTGAGGAGCAGCAGAAACTCTTTACCCTAAAGTTTCTTTCTCTGGGCCCACACGTTTCCAGGGGTTAAGGCAAAGGAGATGGTTACGGCGTAAAGGGCTTTCATGGTCGCATCTTCCAGTTTGCTGATTATAAAAATAAGCAAAAGTGTTGAGGCTATCAGTAGAACACACAACGTAAGCTTTATTAGTTAAGAGCAGCAGTAGAAATGAAAAGCAAGAACGAGCTGCGAATGATTACAGCTGTGCACATGTCCATTGTAGGTGTTAACTGGTCCCATTTCCAATGGAATTTTCCACCTTGGAATGATAAAGTTTGATTTCATTCCATGGAAGATCCTTGGCCCAGGAGACACCTTCTGGGAGAAACTCTTCCTGTCCGCTGCTTCCATATTTAAATGCTTTCTTAGATCAGATGACCCGCCTATAAAATGCCAGTCAAGAATGCTGAAATTCGCCAGCATGCCTTCGGTCATTACGAGGAGCAGTCTGCTATTAGAGAAATGGAACAAGTGAATCAAATAGGATTAACCCCTTCAAATGATTTAACTAGGTATTTCTCACAAATAATAAAGAACGAATTCCTTTCATTCTGTTGAGGATAACCAGAAACAAGGAACTGTGGGGTCTCTAATGAGAATTCACAACTTGGTATAGATGGTGATTCTAAACAAGATGAGAGTCTGCGTTTCTCTTGTTGAGGAAAATGGCAAAGCTTTTCTACCAAAAGAGACTAATTCCTTGTTTGAAATCTCACTTACAGTGGATTATCAAGCATTCATGTAGATGTTTTAAAGTAACCACGTATTTGTCTCCACTTTTCCCGAATCTGTCATTTTGGAATGAGCGCCTTAACTGACAAAGAACACTAAGAGTCACCCTTATAGCCTGAGAAATTAAACATGAAGTTATAAATTCAGATTGCCGGCCGGGCGCGGTGGCTCGCGCCTGTATCCTAGCTCTCTGGGAGGCCGAGGCAGGCGGATTGTTTGAGCTCAGGAGTTCGAAACCAGCCTGAGCAAGAGCGAGACCCTGTCTGTACTAAAAATAGAAAGAAATTAATTGGACAACTAAAAATATATAGAAAAAAATTAGCCGGGCATGGTGGCGCATGCCTGTAGTCCCAGCTACTTAGGAGGCTGAGGCAGGAGGATCGCTGGAGTTTGAGGTTGCTGTGAGCTAGGATGATGCCACGGCACTCACTGTAGCCTGGGCAACACAGTGAGACTCTGTCTCAAAAAAAAAAAAAAATTCATATTGCCTTATAATATTAATCTCAATCTTCTTTGGTAAATTACTTTCCTGTATTTTTAAGTGTAATCATTCTAAATGTAACATCATGCTAACTGCTGTAACAACCTCAAAATCTTAATGACTAACCACAGCAAAGGCTCATTTTTTTTTTTGTCTTGTCCTAGTCCAGGATGGGTCAGTGGAGTCTAGGCAGCAAAGTGCTCTCTTCCATGCAGTGATTCAGAAATCCAAGCTCCTTGCTTCTGGAGCTCTGCTGTTTTCTAGGTTTTGGAGCCTGCTCTGACTCCTTCGTGTCTGGCCACAGGCAAGAAAAGAAAGGTGGACAGTTGTGAAGAGGGGTTACGGCCAAGCCTGTTTGGGGTTTTCTTCACTTTCACCTACATTCTGTTGGTCTGACTCAGTTGTGTGGCCAGAGCCCAACTATGAGGTGAGGCTGTGTGCCCGGGAGGAAAAGAGGATGGAGTTCGCAAACAGCGTGACATTGCCTTGGCTACACCAGGCACTCAGCTGGCACAGCTGTGTTTTGCATGCATGATGAAATTTTCACGTCATGTGTGGGTCTTGGGCCATAGAAAGGATGCAGAGCATAGTAGTCGAGAGCATGACCTCAAATCAAACGGCTGGTATCTAAGACCCAGCTCCACCATTTACCAGATGGTGACTTTAGGCAAGTAACTCAGTCTTTGTGCCTCACATTTCTCATCTGTAAAATGGGGATAACAATGGAACTTACAGAGTCTGTGTGAGAAATCAAATGATTGAACTGTGTACAAATGTGTAAAACAGTGCCCAGAATGTAATTGACAACATGTAAGTGTGTGTTAAATAAAATTTTTAAAAAATGAGAGTAGTACTGAAGAGACCTAATTTACCATTTGGTATGTTGCAATGTGGCTCTTTTGCCATTCAGATGGAAAATGTTTCAGTTCAACTGTAATAATGTTTGTTGAGCAACTATTATTTGTTATGTGCCAGGTATGACCACAGAATCTGAATAAATAGAGTTCTCACTGAATCAAAGGAAACAGCATGTTTTCCCCACCAAATTTGCCTAGTAAGCCCTGTGACTCTTAATCACATCAACATTGTGATCTTGGTTTCCACTCCCCAAATGTGTGGCTTTGCCTCGGCCCCTCACAGTGGAAAGAGGCACTGGCCCCGTGCCCAGATGGTCCCTACAATGCCACTCCTTTATTAGGTGCTCCACCCATTGCTTGACATGCAGTTTGCTCCCCATCTGTTTGCACTAACGTTCTAGCTCTTCTAGTTATGATCCATATTGCAGAATTTTGCGAAACACACGAGGCCAACATGACATGATTTATCTGTACATAGTTCCATCTGAGGAGCAGGCTGGGCATAACGGGCTCTTTCTCTTGCAGCTTGATGACTGCACACTACAACTCTCCCACAATGGCACCTACCTGGACTTGGAAGCCACCCTGGCAGAGCAGCGGGATGAGCTGGAAGGCTTCCAGGATGATGCTGGGTAAGAGCAACTGTTGATTTTGCTGGCTGGTCGCCACTTACCAGGAAACGAGGGTACATTGAGGCCTCAAAATATTTTGGAGAAACCACCATGGCTTTGACCTTCTCTCCACTCCCAGTCACACAAGAGGAAGGGAGATGCAAGTGACTCATCAGTGGCAACTACAGACCCTTTTCCATTCTGAGTAACTTTTCTTCTCAGGGGTGCTGGGGGGGAACCTGCCCTGGTATAGTTTGGTACAGTTTAATCAAGCACATGGTATTTACATTCTAAGTTTGTTTAATTAATTAAGTAATTATTTTAAGAGATGAGCCCAGCTGGAGTGCAGTGGCATTATCATAGCTCACTATAGCCTTGGACTCCTGGGCTTAAGTGATCCTCCTGCCTCAGCCTCCCAAGGAGCTGGGGCTACCACCATGCCTGGCTGATTTATTTTTATTTTTATTTTTAGAGATGGAGCGTTGATGTGTTGTGGGCTGGTCTATTCTAAGTTATTTTTAAACTAGATATCGCAATTGAATCAGTATTTTCCAGATTTCAGTGGATTGACAACTCTTGTAAACATTGTTTTCAATTATAATTTACTGGATATTTTATTTTCTTGGCAGTTGCTGTATAGTTTTACACTGTATCATCTTTTAAACTCATTACAGTGGAGAAAATACTTATTAATTATGTTAATTATTATCAAGTTACTTTGAGCCTACATTTAGAATTGCGTAATATTTCTGATTGATGAATGAAGAAATAATTCTGAGTCTGAATAAAGCAATACGCACATAAAAAATCCGAGATGTGCATAGAAAGTGAAGTCTCTTTAGGAATATACGTGTGCAAGCAGCCATTCCTGTATTTATTAAGTTACTGACATAGCCTTCTGATGGCCCCGCCTCCCTTCCCGGTCCTTTTCCGTCTGGAACCAAGTATCTTTCTGGTTTCATCACCCTACTCCTTAGAAACCTTCAGAGGCTCCTCGATGCTTTCCAAATAATGTTCAGCTATCTTAGTGTGGTGTTAAGGGACCCCCAAAAGTTGTTTGAAGTTACCTTGGCCATGTTAAAAATATAGTCAGGTGAATACTGTCTGGGAGTACTGATTTTTTTAATGAATACCTCAAAGAATGGGGAAAAATTGGAACCTTCTTAATGTTAGTTTCATGTAGCTATCTGACTCCGGTGTGCACTGATGGCTTCCTGGGTTTCCCCTGTTTTAACACCCTTCACAATTTATGGTCATTGTTCCTCTATTTGTTCCTCTTCTCTGCTACTAAAACTCCATTAGGTCAGCACCGTGCCTGTGTGAATGTCCAGCACCTAGCATTTTCTCAGCACGTTACAGGCACTTACTGAGTACTGGTAGCCAGGTGAATGGTGCAGTCCCAGAATCGATTCCAGAGTGGCATGGCCATGAGCACCAAGAAGACCAAGGTCCTTGGTAGGATCCACGAAGGTACCCTGAGGACACCAGGACACCCTTCTTTTTTTTTTATTTCAGCATATTATGGGGATACAGATGTTTAGGTTACCTATGTTGCCCTTGCCCACCCCCGCAAGTCCGAGTTTCAAATATGTCCATCCTTCAGGAGGACACCCTTCTTGTCTCCAGAATGTTTGTATCGGCCACACCAAAAGTGTGTAGGAAAAGACCCTGGAAACCACCATAGGCTGTTCACATGGGAGGGGCTATTTTAAGTCATACCAGATTCTACTCATCATTATTTTTTAAAAAATTAACATTATTAAGTTGATAGACTTGGGGAAATTCCATTGCCATAGTTTCTACTAAGTATTTGACAATTGACATCCCTTTATATGAGAGGTCAGAATGCAGGCTGGATGGTAGTCTAATTGGATGACTTCATGGCTCATTGATCAAACAGACCCCAGGAGTGTTACGAGTAGATCATTGTCAGCTTGAAAAATGTCTCTAGTGGTGTTATGCTTGGAGGCCTTTCCTGCTGGATTTTTTTTTCTTATCAAAACTTGAGTGATTTGGAGGTGGCAGCTGAGAAAAAAAGTGCTAATTTCTTAGATAACAGTATAAGAATAAAGAGTAGGGGAGAAAATAACGTTTTTAGAGCAACTACTATGCCAAGTACCATTTTTGGCTCTATAGTCACAGTATCTTTATTTAATAGTTAATTCTCATAATAGTCATGTAATTGGATTTTACTGTCTCCATTTGTCATTTGAGACAACTGAGGATCAGGAGTTACATCGCATGTGCAGGTCATCAGAGCCAGCTGATGGTGGGGGGGGTGAGGCGGGGGATAGAGAGAGAGAGAGAGAGAGAGAGAGAGCGCGCGCTCGCCAAGTTCGAACACAGGTGTGACTGATTCCCAAGACTGCACTCCTCTGCCACCCCAGGAGCTCCTGGGCAAAGGCACCTCAGGTTCTACGCAGCATGTACATTTGCACTTTTGGTGACGTGAGGGTGATTCATGCGAGGACATTGGTCCTGGTCTGAAACACTGCCTCCAGTTGGAACAGCATCCAGCCACACTGCAGGTGGCTCCAGGGAAGACACCTTTGCTGCCATCATCCATCATTGACACTACAGCTCACCCTGGCAACATCTGTGTCCAGATGCTGGCCGTTCCTCCACAGCTGTTCCCAAAGAGCCAGGGAGTCCTGCTGCAGCTCACCCGAATAGATCCTGGGACTTGCTTTCTCACTTTGTTCCCTTCTGAATCATCACCTGGCCATGGGTCCATCCAGTAGCTGGTGCCCGAATCCCATTTCTGCACCCTGATAGCAAGAGATGCTGGGGAAATGAATTATGGCAAGATGAGAAGGTGGAACTAAAGATGTTAAAACTGCAGAGCAAGGTAGACCAAAAGATGTTGGGTAGCTACACATTTGATAAGTGTGCCCCAAACTTACTCCAGAGTGAGGTTTTATGTCTTTGAAATAGTCTTCATTCATAGTGACCCAGCCCTTGTCCTTTAGAACATACCTCTGTTTTGTCTGAGAGAGTGTGAAGAAGCCACATTGACTGATTTCCTGGCAGGGAGGCCAGTCTGTCCCTGGCCTGAGTCGCATTGCCAGGTCACTCCCATTACCGCCAGGTTGTTTACCAGCACCGAGCCCTGGGAGCATGAGTCAGATCACTGGAGCTGTCAGGAAACAGCCTGCGGGCTGAGCACCCCCACGCAGGTGGGAGGTGTCTGGGCACATTTGCACTGCCACTTGCACGGAAGGTCTCTTCTAGGTCCTCTCCTAGATGTGTGGCATTTGGCAAAATCTGTGTGCCTGAGAACTCATGTCTCCCAAAAATGGGAATTAAAATATAATTGTTGTCTAGGTGAGATTTGCCCTTTTGAGGTATGAAAACAGCAATGAAATACCATTTTTTCTCTTTATTTCTTTGTGTCAGTTATAGCAAAATATCTGCTAATCTTGTGACCATCTAATGAAGACATATGGCAGGTTGGGTGAAAACAGTGGTATTTTTCATACTGTGTGTTCTGTTTCCTCGCTGGAGGAGTTTGTTTCTTTGTTCTTGTCTATTACCCTGTACTTTTATGCCAAGACTAAAAATTAATTCACTTGTTTAGAATTATCACTGAGGCTATAGCTAATCAGAGAGGAGGAGAAAGACCTTCAAAAATGGAAGGACAAAGCAATTATTATGCTAACAAAATAGAGCCAGGTCTGCACATTGCCTTCCAAGGCCAGGCAAGTTAGCAAGTAGAACATGGTGCAGTGGAAACAGCAGCCCCGAAACCTCTGACCCTGCCATTGTGTGACCTTGGCCAAGCCACTTTGCTTCTGATAGGATTTTATAAAATGAGGACGTTTATAAAAATTATTTATAGAATAAGGGCTAAATTACTCAATCCCATTTTACTCCCTATATCAGCAGGGGTCTGCACAGGGTCTCTGGCATGGTAGTTTGGGACATGGGCTTTGTGGTTAGTCTGGGGGCTGGTTGACCATGGGGATGTAACTTCACCTCTCTGAACCTTAGTTTTCTTTTTTTTTTTGAGACAGAGTCTCACTCTTTTGCCCGGGCTAGAGTGCCGTGGCGTCATCCTAGCTCACAGCAACCTCAAACTCCTGGGCTCAAGCAATCCT